GATGGCAAAGCCTATTGCCGCAAGGATTACTTCGACATGTTCGCTCCGAAGTGTGGGGGCTGCGCCCGGGCCATCCTGGAAAATTACATCTCTGCCTTGAATACCCTGTGGCACCCTGAGTGCTTTGTCTGTCGGGTAAGAGAGCCTGTGCTGCGCACTGTCACCTGACCCCTCTCCCAAGTCCCCTAGGTGGGTGTCTGGTGGTTCCCTCGATCAGAACAAGGGGTCTGGGCCAGCACAGGACAGCCAGCCCCACAAAATACATAGTGTGATAGTGACCACGCACCCTCTTGCTTCTCTGCCTGTTTCCATTAAATTCTCTAGGGGCTTAATTCCCTCCCCCCTCCCCCATAGCCACAGTTATGGGCTTCTGCAGCAGTTCACTGATAAGCACAGAATTTTTCCAGTGGTTTCTTAGTAATAGTGAGCTAAGCTTTCTGAGCACTCCGCCTCAGCACCCTGATTTGAAGAGCTTCCTCGTGTGCTCACTCTGGAAATGTCAACTTAATGAGACTGACCTATTTGGATCAACTTGGAAACTAATGAAATAGCTGTAAACTGAATACGCTGCTGCATAATGAACTGTAATGCTGCAGAATAAATACTTAGCACGTCTTCAAAGAGCCTTGCAAATATCGACCCATCTCCCAGGAGCAGTGTAAAGATGAATATCAGCCACGTGTTACCGAGACAGAGGCAGAAAGGCGGAGTTCAGAATGAGGGTCAGAACCCATAAGTTCCTGTTTCCAATCCTGTGCTCAGACCACTAGTCTGCTCTCCTCTGCTGCAGAGCAGCCAGCGTGAGAGGAGTTGGCTGAAGCTGTCCCTTTGAAACTCTCCATCACTCAGAAGGCCCCTGTGAATAGAAATTCTGGCAGTCTCTTGTGAGCAGCTGACCAGCTCCGTCCTTGCCTGGACCTGGGTTCAGGCTCTTCTTCTGCTCAGGAGATGTTGCTCGGCATTCTTCACGCTGCTGCCTGTTAGTGGGGGCAGCAACTTTTGGGCAGAGTCTGTTTTTCTGTTGTTAAAGTCAGGCCAATTTCCAGTGTTTGTTTTCGAATGGAGGTGGATGGCTTAGTAGTCTCAGCATCAGGCTCCCAGGTACCTGCTGCCTTTCAATGCTGCAGGCAACTGGAGTTCCTCGCAGTTCACTGTGTGCGAACGTGCCTGGATATGCACTTACTGTGGCTGCACCCTGCTGGATGCCTGCACGCAGGGCTCAGTTTGCATCTGCCTGTGACTAAGTAGATGTCCAACCATGTGTGCACTTGCGGTACTGTGCGTGTCCCTAGGGCTGGACGTTCAAGTACAAAACTAGGACTCAGGACATCTGGCTTCTGTTCTTGACTTTGCTGCTGACCCGTGTGACCCTGGGCAAGTCCCTTAATGGCTCTATACCTCAGTTTCCCCACCTGTAAAAAGGGGGGGGGAATTCCTCCTAACTTCCCATGACTGTAGTGAAGGTACAGCCATTAATACCTGCATGGGGCTTAGACAGTGATAACCATTATAGAGAGATGGGTGCCTATTAAAAAATTGGTCTCTAACAGCGTCTCTTCATAGACATTAAAGACCCAGTATCGCTTTTGTAAGGGTATGGACTTGTCCCCCAGGGTCCTTGCCCAAAATTTCTCCCCCTCCACATTTCTCTAGTGGCTGTCACCTTCTGCCTGCCACTGTATTTCAGTGGTGAAGTGACTCTTGTATGTGTATAGTTTGGGATGAGTCAAGAAGGAGGGCGCTGTCCCAGGGAATATGCATAATATCTGGCATTCGAAATGGGTAATTTAAAAAAAAACCCTACTGGCCGTCACCTTCTTTTTCACTGATCTGAGCGTAAGCAGGGCAGATACAGCTAAAGAAATTAAAACCAGCCCATTGTGACAAGGTAAAAGGTGCTCCTGATGCCCTGGAGCATAAGGAATTCTTCCCTACCTATCACCTGGGTGAGCTGGGGTGGGTGGGCTCTAAAAGCTGTTGTGGTGGCAGCTGTCTCTGTGGATGGGGGTGTTCTCTTCTCTCCCAGCTTATTGGAAGCAGGAGAGGCTCTGGTGTTGCTTACCAAGTGTTCTCAGTAGTTTTGCTCTTGGGTTTGGATTTTCTTTGTGTTAATAAAGCCAGCCTGGAGTAAAGGGACATGAAGTATAGTTGAGGGCTTTATTTTCCCTCCCAGTTGCTGTATCTGCCCTGCTTACGCTCAGTAACCCTGTGTCTGCTGGGCACCGATCATCTTTGCAGCAGTACTTCTGCAGCCCCTTTCTGCTGGATGAAGATGATTCACCCTGCCCACTTCCTGCAGGAGGCAGCTAGGGGCATGGCAGGCGAAGGCATGGATTGTGGAGTTGCCTGTGTCCCCACCTTGCCGTATCAATCTGTTCCCTTTTGCTTCCACCTCCTGCAGGAATGTTTCACGCCGTTCATCAACGGCAGCTTCTTTGAGCATGATGGGCAGCCCTACTGTGAGGTGCATTATCACGAACGCCGCGGCTCGCTGTGTTCCGGCTGCCAGAAGCCCATCACGGGACGCTGCATCACCGCCATGGCCAAGAAATTTCACCCAGAACACTTTGTCTGTGCCTTCTGCCTCAAGCAGCTCAACAAAGGAACCTTCAAGGAACAGAATGACAAGCCCTACTGTCAGAACTGCTTCCTCAAACTCTTCTGCTAGACGCATCCTAGCTGGGAACGGAGCATCTTTCTGCCCCCTCACTAGGCAGCCGAGTCTCTCTGAGCATTACTGTGATTTAGAAACCTTGCCGGGGCGGGGGGGGGGGGGGGGGGGGGAGGGGGGGGCGGTGACGGCTGCTCGAAAGAGGAGATGGACCATTAAACTGGAAATGCCCATGCTGTGTTTCAGTGGGGAGATGCTGAGCCCCATCATTAAAATGTTGTATGATTGTTGACAGCCGAGAGGAGCCTGAGGCGCTAGCGAGGAGATGCCTTTCTCAAGGAGAGGGCTGGATAAAGCCTTGAGTCATCTCTCCCTGAGCCAGCATGTGCCACTTCCAAACAAAACGTCCTTGGCTTTGGTGACTCTTCTCTCTCGCTGGGGCATGTAAGTGCTGTGTGACCCAAGCAGTAGCTCTGCTGCTGCACAGCAAGGGCCATGCTCTGACCTCTGCATTGCCCGGGCGGTGCCTGGTCGAGTCCTGGGGCACACGGGATTTACTACGATTACAGCAGCAGCTCCAGAAGCTGTAAAGACCCTGCAGTGGAGTCTTTCCAGTTCAGTAACACTGCAGGGAATTGATGCCACTTATTTTTTAGAAAGGGGAAGTAGGGGGCTACTCTGTTTTTCTAGCTTGTGATTCTCTCCCCCTCCTCAACACGCTGGGGCAGGAGGTGGGGGGAAGAAAACCCCCTCCCTGCTTGAATGGAGTGTCCCATTTTGTGCTGGACACCCCCAACTCCCCAGGAGTGGTTAGGGCAAATGCTCCTAATTCTGCTGCTCCTGGGAGAGGAGGAGGAGACTGGCACCAATTAATTTTAAAAGAAAATGCAGAGAAATTTGAGGGCCCAGCCCTCCCCTCTGAGTGAATGTGGCTTATGCTGTGTGTCTGGCCTGCATTTTACTAAGGGAAGGGCCTGAAAAGCCTCTCTAGGTTTTTTTTTTAAAAAGCAAGGACAAAATAAAGCTATAGACTTCGTATTCCTTGTTCATCTTCCTCTCTGCTCTTTGCTAATCAGGCCGGCAGCCCCTCTTCTTTGATACTGTCCTGTTCCTTGCTCTTGATAAACACGTTCTACTGAGACTCTCTAGAGCAATAACCTTTTCTATTGACTGTTACTGGTCTAACAAGTCCCTGAGGTCTGGTGCATCTGACACTTGGCGTTTTGCTATCGAACTGAATACTGTACGCTTTGAGAAAAACTGTGGATTTCTACACTGAGGTTTGAATTCATAACGAATTTACTTTTAATCCTCTCAGAAATTGGTTTTGAAGTGATTTTAAGAAAGCTACTTTCATCTCTCAAACTGTGCTGTTCTAGGCAGTACCAGTTGTGCTGGTTCCTGCATCTGTAACCTCAATGCTTGGGTTTAACAAACTATTAACATGAAGCATTTTCTTTTTATTGGGGGTGGGGAGGGCTCTGGGTTTTGCAGGGGAAGGGAATGTGACTTGTATTGTTTTCTAGCACAAGCAGGTGAGCTGTGAATAGCTCTTTTAATTTTCACAGATCACCTGGAAAGTTTATTTTGTAACCTGTAAACTGCTGTATTTGACTTACCTGCCTTTCTCCAAAGCCCGACTTCCAGGGTAATGAAGTGAGTCTTAATTCAGTGCCACATGCTGCAGAGATGGAGAACTCAAAGTCCACCCTCATAGTTTTATTCCTCTTCAACCATCAGAAATGAGAGCAGAGGGTTAACTCGGGAAGGGGAGTTCTCCCCTTAGGTGGGAAGGATGGTCCTGGGGCTAAAAAAAAGGGCTGGGAGTCAGGAGATCTGGAATCTGTTCTTGATTCTGCCACAGACTTGCTGTGTAACCTTAGGCCAGTCACTTAGCCACTCTGTGCCTCAATTTCCCCATCTGCAAAATGGGGCAATATTCCCACCTTGTAGGATTTTGAGGTTTAGTTCATATTTGTCAAAGGCACTTTCAGATCTTCAGAAGGAGGGTGGTGTAGAAGGACAAAGGATTGTGTTAGAAACAACCCTACGGTGTTCTACGCTAATGGTGAAAGTGGTGCAGTGAGAAGAGGCTTTTAAAATATGACTCTAGAAGATTCTAGATCTTTGGTTATTAAGGCATGGCACATTAGGGTGGCTACAAAATGTTCAAAATGGAAAAGGCATAGGGAGTTCTGGGATTAACTGTGTAAGAAACAAACCCTCACTTTAACAGAGGGATCCTAGCTTACTATTTTCAATAACCTTAGCTCGATGCTTCACTACCCCACTTGAATAAGTGGAAGTGTTTTTCACTGGTTTCCCATACAAATGAGCCTCAGTCTGTGGTTGTGAAAGCAGGGTTTTGTGGAACAAGTGGTAAAACAAAAAGCTACTCCAGCTGGGCTGAGCACAGCTTTTGGGAAGTTCCCAAGGCAAGAAACTGTCTAAATTGTCATTTTGGAGTTGAAATTAGTTTTACTTAAAATTGGGATTTCTGAGCTTCCTGCTGAAACTGACACTTGTTCTGACCCCGCTGGTTGGGAGAACGGTCCTGTGTCCAGTGCACAGGACTGGGAGTGTCTCTGCCACTGCATTTCTGTGTGATACTGAGTGAGTTTATAACCTTCTGTGCCTCA